ATTATCATTTATGCACTTGTATAAACAACTGAGTGTTTTTTTTTTTTTCAATATTCAAACATCGAATTCCAATTGAAAAATGCCTATTCCAAAACTATTTTGTTTTGAATTTCATTTTACCCTTCGATAATCTCTCTATTGAAACACCTTGGCAGATAGGTCTGCATAAAACGGTACCATTGCGCACTTTTAGCCGCGGTCACAGTGTCGATGTTTCAGTACAGAGCCTCAAGCAGTTTTTGTGTTCGAAACTCCCCCAGTGGGATTCCTCTGGCTCTGGCCTCATCTTTGTTATCTATGTATCGTCCACCCACACGATGTTTCTTCCTCCTCGTGATCTTTCCTGGATCCTGCCCTCTCTGATGTAGCGCGCCACAATGCCTCTTGCTGTTGACTAGCCCACTCCGTGCGTGTTCGCGACCACAAGATAATCTTCCTACTTTTCTCAAATCCTCTCATGATTCTCTCTTTGTGCTGAGTGGTATTCGGTTTCTTCGTGGCATTTTGCCTGCTGTTAGAAAACCTTCATGAAGCGAATGATCAGAACAGAATTTAACGAATGTAAATTGAGGCAAAATCTGAGTTCAATTAAAAATCGCTTCTTGCATGTTGAATTGTTTGTACAGGTGCATTAATAATCGTCTTAATTATTCCTATTAATGCGTTTCAGTAATAGTGCTATTCAATTGCAAATCGTGTGATAAAAATGTTAATGAATGGTTTATGCACCATAATGTTTGTATATTGTGAATGTTAGCACATGTGAAAGTACATGTATTTTTTTCTTTTGCTTGACGAATGACGTATAAGTATGCCCAAAATTTTTCTCGAAAGTGCAAAAATCGACAATGAATCTGATTTACGCGCAAATGATCGTTTTTTGGTCGTTGATGAATGTCACTCCACGCTGAATGTTCGCCGTTTCACGCAAATGAATGCGTTTTTTCTCGTAATGAACGGTAAAAGGTGTACTTGACGAGTAGCTTTCCCTAAGTCTTGTCTTGCATGGTCTCGAGAATATCTTTCAAGCAGAAAGAGTGAATTAGTCCACATGTTTCCTTATAGAGACTTGGTATCAAAGGAAGGATTCACATGGATTCTCAAAGAAACTGGCGTTTTCATTAAGTTTCTTCCTGAAGCAGTAACAGATCCAAGATTGATCACATGTATGTTGTGGAAGCCTGGGAAAGGTTCTCCTCCTCTTGAAGATAATGAATCGTTGGTGAGCAATGTAATAGAACTTGACTGTGATGATTCAAACGATGTAGTGTTCAGTTCCATTGAAGTAGCCTTAACCCATAGTGCAAAGTGCTCGAGAGGTTACGAACTTGTTATGAAGGAGATGACCGATACAGATGGATGGAGGGATCTAGAAACCTTAGAGGTGCAACCATCAGGTTTGTCACTGTCATTTTAACACACTTCTACGACCTGAATACGAGTGCTTATGTTCGGCCTTAACTGACGGAGGAGCGGTTAAGCGGGCAATATTTTTTTCCTTCCTGTGGTTCATGAACTCTAAGAATAATTCTAAGTATCTCAGACAACTTACGCTGGAAACCAAGGACTGCCCTATAATTATTCATCTGAATCCCACTGAGGTAGCAGGACATGCAAACGTATATTTCTGAAACTTTTGGACAGATCTACAAGGCGAAAGCTTGCAATGGTACACTGAATTGCCTTTTGTTGGCGCTTAAATAACCAGTTTTTCCCACTATGCCGTTATGAGAGAGGCTTTATCGAAACATCTATTAATTTACGTAATTGTAAAGAAGGTAATGGTAACTTAAAAGGCTTCCAAGTAAACTTTGAAACTTTTTTTAATAAGTCTCTATTATGATCTGACACCTGGCAATTGGAGAGGAAGAAAAGCCCAAGTACACTTTTGAATGAAAAACAGTACTAGTATGGCGAATACCGTCAGTTAAATGACCATAGCAACGATCTTCCCAAAAACACTCTGAGATCGTACGGAAAGTATTTCTATCGACAATTATTCTTCGGAGATCAGTTAATCTCTCTTCAGTTTTAAAAGTCGTGGAAAGTCAGAGTGTAAGAGAGTTCATATTTTTGCTTTGAAGTTAGAAAGTCTGCACGTTTATTTTCTGCAATGGTGTATAAATCCTGTCTTTCTTCCACCGAAAAACTGAGGTCAAATGAGATGTCTTTTTTTAACCAGACACTAGGGGATTTAGTGCGACTTTCACTCATCGAATTCCTTCGGTTTCTGTTGTGAAAATTATGAAAGAAATGTCCAAATTCAGGGGACTTGCAAATAATAAGCAAAAGTGTATTTACAAAAGATCTCAAAACGTTGCTCAAAGTTTCAAAAACGAACGAATTGTTTTGGAGAATTCAGATATTAGATAAGTGAGAGCCGCATTCATTAGCGTAATTATTTACTGCAAATACCTATCGTTTTAATTTCTTAAGTTACTTCTTATGAAGGACTGTTAAATCACAAACGGTGTTTAGACCGTGTGTGCCAATCTTTTCAAAAAAAAAGTGATTACAACAAAATTTATTTCGAAATGAAAGTAATTTCAGAGAGAGAAGAGAGAATTAATGTTACTTCGGTATCAGCTGAGGGCCAAGACCAAAGTCTTTGCTTAGTAATGCTGCCCAGCTGGTAAACAAGATATATTTCTGAAGCCAGAGATGTTCTGCAAAGAGACTCAACATGAAACGGATACTGCGCGCTTTAAGAACCAATTATATCGCAGGGTTTGTAGGAATGGATTCCCGCAGAGGTAAAGAAAGAGACCAGTAAACCAAGGTCCTACATAGTCAAGACAACGGGTGGGTCTGAGCTAAGACGCGACAGAGTCCAGCTAAAGCCTTTACCTTTCCAGAAAACACCAACAACCTGTGGAGAACAAGTTATTAGCAACCAGGAGTGTACACTGCCGGACAGCCAAGAGACAAAGGCCTGCTTCAGACGTCATCATCAGAATTACCTCAGGCGCCTGCCAAGTCACCGTTACCTTCCAACCAAGGCAGTCACTAGTTGCCTAGGACAACCAGGAGTGGCCGCATTGTAAAGGAGCCATCTAAACTAGACTTATAAGCTTCRTTTTGCTGTCCGAAGTCTGATGAAGAAACACTCAGAGAAATACTTATAAACTCTGTTTTTATTGTTATTTTTGTTGTTTCTGTTTTCTTTTCTTTTTTTGTTTGGCTGTTACTTTTTGTTAGAAACTTAGATTTCCGTTTTTAGCCTTTCTTAGGGTAGAGTTGTTACATTAGCTAAGCTTACGCAATGGTCTAGCGCATGCGCACTGATGAGACTAAGCACATGTTCGGGACACAAAAATTATATTCCTTGATCCGAGATAACTAAATAAAAGCAGCATATCCTTTTACAGGTACAATCACCATTTACGGCTGAAATATTAGACTCGAAAAGACCTCTTCTTGATGGCTTCATCATAGCGAATAATAATAGACACTCAACGAAACTAGATGAGGGTATAAAAAGCCAGTTTTCGATAATAATTGCAAAGATTTAGTCGAATAATATTGCACACAAAATAAGCTACCCTTTGCTGTAATATAGAAAATTCTGAGTATGGTCTTTACTTCCGCAATGCATTCTGGTTGAGCGTGGCCCTTGAAAAGAGGTGAAAATTACAGTACTTAAGGGGAAAAAATTTCGTGGACTTTCGTGGACAACCGACCACGTAATAAAGGGTGACCACTGAGAGAAAATAACCTGTTTATAATGACTTAGTGACCACTTAATACGGTGCCGCTTAAAAAATTTGCATCTGTTTCCTTTCCTGTGGTTCATGAAATTTGATTTTTATGGTATCTCACATATTTCACGCAGAAAACCATCTAAACAAGACTGAGGTAGCAGTTTTTTTTGTTTTCTTGAACATGAACAATGTATATCTCTGAAAACTTTTCAGATCTACAACGTGAAAGTTTGGGATGGCAAATTGAATTGCCTTTTGTTCAAGCTAAAATAACCAGTTTTTCCCGCTATGCCGTTATTTGTCGTCTTAAGTCCTACAGACTTCGAAAAGAGGATTCTGAGGAGCGTTCTAAATTAACAATCAGTGTGCCAGATTTCCCAGGTACTTGTTTGTCAATTTCTGGTTCCCGGTTTCCTGCAAGTATGGACCTCGTTATCAAGGTAAAATCAATTTATAGAATTGAAACACTCCTCTTTTCTTCTTGTTTGTATTTAATATTTTTATAACTTAGCACGCGCTCAATTCCTACCTAATTCATATGAACCTACTTCTTGGTAAATATATGTAGATATAAATATCTAAATATCTATGAGTTTTCTCATACAGAAGAAAAACCGCTCGAAAACATGAATCTGAAAAGTTCAAGCGTACAAGTGAAAGGAAAAATAGACGGTTCAAATTACGAGGCAAATTTTAGCCAACGATGTTTGTTTTTTAATTTTTCCCATCATAAAGGAAACGAACAGGATAGGACTTAAGAGCGAATGTAACCAACGATCAAACATTTGGTGGCAACCACCAAAAAATCGATTCGGCTCATATTCTCAAGTTAGGCAGGCCTTATGGTGAAACAAAGCACTGCATCCTTTGTTTGGCTGAATATCGATTTATTTTCGAGAAAATCAATAATAACTGAATTTCGACTAAATGGCGCTATTGAAGCTCATAATTTCAGACAAATCTCGGAGCATTCCGCCACGAATTAAAAACACTTGGACCGACAAAAACTACCAAATCTTAAAAAACAACATCAATACATAAGTTCACGGCAATTTAAGCAATTCTTGATCGTTCATTTACACAAGCTAATTGAATTTAACCGACCTTCTTCTAGCGAGATTAAAAATAGGTCAAAAGTAACCCGTTATTTAACTATGTGCTATACAAAATAATCGACTGAAAATCTGGGTTTTGGAATGCGAAGTGTGCTTCTTTTCAATCTCCAAAGGATTTTTTGGGGAAATAATTCAGTGCGATTTAATCAAATTTTAAAGTTGGATGAAATGAGCTGATTTGACGATGCCGTCAGTTGTTCGAAAATGTTCACATTCACACACAGTCTCAATTGTTTCGCATTTTACATCCAATCTACAGCTTATTCAACATAATATCATCTTACCGTCCATATTGCTGTATCACAAAAGGGGATTGTAGTCCTAAAATTGTTGCATTGCTCCCTCAATAGCAATAGAACTCGGTAGGATAGTCAACACATCCCGATAATGATTGTTTACAAAGTGTATCTCGGGGTTTCTCTATTCCCATTTCGCTGAAATACTTCGCGTAAGAGATCTTTGTTTAAATATAAGTCTACAACCGAACCGTGAACCAAATGTAAGCGGAATGTTGCTAGTTCAGAAACATGTTTCTCGCGTGCAGAATAACGCTAATTAATTCAAAATGAGGTCTACTGAAATAAAACGCAAAAATAAAACATTGGACTATGAAGCACGTGGCTACAGGAACTAAGGTCGTGTGTTACATATACGAAACAGGAGCAAACAATTATCTAACTCCGATCATAATTTAATGTATCATAATTGAATGTTTCATGGTACTTCGGGGGATAAAGCTCATTTTAGGACAAAAAAAGAGCGAAAGATCTGCAAAGGGCATAGCCCATCATACATCACTGCAGATGTGCGACAAAGAAAAGTGTAGTGTTTGAATATTTGTTTATTTAAAGGAAGTTTTATAAGGGTCAAACCTGGAAAACCACAACTTTCGCTGAAATGTTTGTAAAAGCCAACGTTCAACAGCTTTATATTTATACTACTTCTTCTCCAGAGGCTACTGTGCCTTGTTAAGTTACTCGTGCCGGTAGTAAGACTACGACCCAGGTAGCACGTTCACATTTTTGACACCCNGTTAGTTCTCCATTAATTACTGTTTCCCGTTTTCTGGATCGTCTGTCGAAGTCACAGTGTACTCTTACTATAGTTTTGAACGAGCAGCAGATATCCTTATGAGGAGAACGACACGCAATGCTGTTGCAGAGTTCACATCTTTTCTCTGCAATTCATTTTATTAGTAAACGAAAATGCCAGTTTCAAGGTAATTTCTGTAATTAATCAAACAATCAATAGAGATTAAAATAGTAAGGAAGAGGAAACAAATACGATTCAATTTTTCAGCGTCTTAAAAAATACTTGTAAGTTATTTAAAATCCTTACCTCTACTCGAGGCAATTGTAATTTCGACCGGTTCCTTCTTACACAAAATAAGCACCAAGTGTTTCTGTAGATACTCAGTGTGGTTTCAGCGATTAACGATAAAAACACCCCTCTTTGTTTCATTTGCCAGGTTTGACTGTAACTCATTTTGAATATTACAAACCGTCAAGAGAAGAAAATTTAGTAAGAGTGCAGGGAAGTTGAAAACTTATCAACAGTAAATTGATGTAGTATTGTAGCAAGCAGAAGTTTTAATCATCGAACTAGGTTTATCTTTCGTTCTTTTTGTCCTCTCAATAATTTACGAATTAAAAATATGAACTCAATAAGGATCGGAGTTAAATAATTGTTTGCTCCTGTTTCCGTTATGTAACACTCGACCTTAATTCCTATAGCCACTTGCTTCACAGTCGAAAGTTGTATTTTTGCGGAGTTGTCGATTTCTGTGGACCATCATTTTGAATTAATTAGCGTTATTCCGCACAGGAGAAACATGTTTCTGAACTAGCAACATTTCGCCAACATTTGGTTCGCGGTTTAGTTAAAGACTTATATTTAAACAAAGATCTCTTACGTGAAGCAATTACAGCCTCCTTTTCAACGAAATGGAAAGAGAGAAACCCTGAGAGACGCTTTGAAAACAATCATTAGGAGGTGTTGACCATCCTGCCAAGTTATAAGGCTATTATGGGAGCAACGCAATAATTTCAGGACTGCAATCCCCTTTTGTGGTACAGCAATATGGACGGTAAGATGATATTATCTCAAATTAGCTGTAGATTGGATGTAAAATGCGAAACAATCGAGTTTGCGTGTGAATGTGTACATTTTCGAATAACTGATGGCATCGTCAAATCAACTCATTTTATCCAACTCTATTATATGATTAAATCGCAATGAATCATTTCCCCAGAAAATCCTTTGGAGATTGAAAAGAACCACATTTCGCCTTCCAAAAACCAGATTTTCAGTACAATATTTTGTATAGCACAGGGTTAAATAACGGGTTACTTTTTACCTATTTTTAATCTTGTTTGAAGAAGGTCGGATAAATTCAGTTACGTTGTGTAAATAAATGATCAATAATTGCTCAAATTGCTGTCAAATTATGTATTGATGTTGTTTTTCAAGATTTGGTAGTTTTTATCGGTCCAAGGGTTTTCAATTCGCGGCGCGACGCTCCGAGATTTGTCTGAAATTTTGAGCCTCAATAGCGGCATTTGGGCGAAATTCAGCTTTTATCAATTTTCTCGAAAATAAATCGATATTCAGCCAAACGAAGTATGGAGTGCTTTGTTTCACCATAAGGCCTACCTAACTTGAGAATATGAGCCGAATCGATTTTTCGGCTGTTGCCACCATATTTTGAAAATGTTCGATTTTTGGCCACATTTCCTCTTAAAGCTGTAATTTCTTGTTTTATGTTCGGTTTCGAGTTTAAAAAGTTCTAGCAGTAGCGTTGAAGCGGGTTGACGGCGGCAAGAGGTCTTAAAGGCAGTGGTAGACCGCCTGTACTTAAAGGCTCCCTGAAATCAGCGGTATCCTAGCAGTTTGTATGTGTATTTTCCCCAAAAAAGATGTGAAATCTTAATCAGATGAGCTGTGCATCTTGAAATCATCTTGAAACTCACAACTCTTCAGGCAAAAGAGTCCTGAAAGTACTATGGATCAATGATTTCATGCTTAGAAATGCTTTATAATATACTTCTCTTTGAGATTTGGGCATTTAATTAAAGTTGACTTTACCTAGGTGCAAGAGATTTCAAATGAAGCTTTAGAAGGAAAGGAGGTCCTCGTTGGTCCTATTGTTCACATTACATTCACATCAGAAGCTGAGCTAAGTGATCCTTCGCAAGTTAGTCCTGTCATAATAAGTGTACCCATCGACTCGCAAAAACACCAGACTGAGTTCTCGAAAATGTCATCAAGACATGTGAGAGTGTTTTTCCGTGGCGGTAAAGACGCGTCAGGTAAGTGGGTCGATTGGACAAAGAAGTTGCAACCAAAACTGGAAAACTGGATTGTGACATTCAAGGTGGATGGGACTGATTCATTTCAAATCAATCGCCTCTTGGAGTAAGTATGCAAATTTCTTTATTTCTTACGTATACTAGTTATCTACGAACTGTGAATTACATATTGCATGAGTATGAAACGATAAAATGAAAATACATTGCTGTGGCATGCGCATGCATTTTTCTAATTGCAGTGTTTATATATTCAGAAACGAAATCAAGTGGGTTAGTTACCTAAAGTACATCTCCCCAGTTTTTATTATATCTTCGAGTATCAAAATTCATTGTGCCTTTATTCCTTGCTAGATGTGGGGTGATGCTTGATTCTTCTACGAAACCTTTGGAAGCTGAAAAGCTTTTTATCGTGGATTCATCATGTCCGCAACAAGTGGGATTTTTCGCTTACTGGAGTCAGAAGAAAAAAAAAATGGAGGAAGAACAAAAGCAAGGATCACTGACTCTTTGTTGTTTTCCAATCCACATGAAAACTGAGTTGAAAAAAGAGATATCTTCAGAGCATGGATTCCTTCTCTGTGGCGAAGCCAAGTCAGCAAGACTGCTCGCTAAAGGGGATCAGGCATTCTTTTCTCTGTCAAACGGCCTCACTCTAGCTGATAATGGAAATGTTATAGATTACCTCCCGTTTAAGTAAGTCCTTGACAGAGATTAAGTTATGTAATTTCTATGTCTTTTTAATCATTCACCTTAGTTTCAGAGCACGTTGAGAATGAGTCTATTCTTACCAATGAATTCACAGTGGAATGCACTCCTCCAGAATCAATAATTCCTGTTTAGACTGTCGTAAGATTGAATAAGGTTGTTGGATTATTGCATTATGAAACGGAATTAGAGGCTGAAGTTGGAAGGAATATTTCTTTGGCTTCTACTTGAAAAAAGTTTTCATCGGGAAATTTCTCCAATTCGATAAAAAATAGCGAAACATTCCTTCTTGTGAACATGATCAGTGCCAGTTGAGAAACATGTATTGACTTCGATGCTCTTCTTTTCTCTTTTAGGTTTATTGGAGACTTCATTTTTAGAAAAGATTACTTGGCTCGCTTCGAAGCACCAAAAATAGAATTTTTTAAAAGGGAAAATGACAAGGAAGGAAGAGAAAATCTCTGCTCTCTGTTACTTCATCCAGTTACGCCGTTTGAGGTATGAAAGGGACGCAAAGTTTGATGAACTACAGTTCGTAGTTCAGTGATTGCTAAGACGTCTTTCGGGCTCAGTCTTACCTCAAGCAGACTATTAAAACAGTTGACTAAACCTGTTGATAATAGTTACCTCTTAATAAAAGTTATTAATTTTACAGGCGAATAAAAACGAATGATTTCTCGGAAAAGATGCTATGCCCATATTGCGCCAATACCCTAAATGGACACTGTCTTTCATTCAGTCACATACATTTTTCATGATTTTCTCTCTCCTTTTAATTATTCTCTTTTAAAAGATTCTGCTTATAGAGAAATCTTGAGAGTACCCTTAGTACTTTTATTCGTTTTGTCGATCTTAGTGGTCATCGACTCAAAGTGAGTGGGGAATAATTAGAATGGTTTTCACAGTGTCAGAAAAAGAAATGATGAAATACAAGTCGAACACAACGCCTTAGTTACTGAAACAGTGAAAAACTTTAAAAGAACTTTATGGGTTCTTACGAATGTTTTCGAAGATGGCCAACTGAAAAAGGTATTATCATATAAACGTAAAGTACCTTTTATCTTGCTATTCGTATTTCGCAAATTTTGAATCGCACAAAAATTAATTGTCATTAAGTGGGAAAACAAAGATAGCTTGGAGGTCAAGAAAGATTTTTCAAGCTTTGATATCAGATTCATGGTGATGGTAAACGTAACCGTCGGATGGGCACTTCGGATTGGCATTTCGTTTGATCCCGAGTTAAGTTGCTAAATTATCGATGCTCATTTATCGTCACGGGAAATTTATCATACGAAATGTCGGTCAAACTGTGTACATGTAGTTTCCCGTGTGAAAAATTCGGCATTTACCATTGTGAAAGTGCGCTCGTAGCTTTAAATGTTGTGACCGTATTTTCTCTTTTTTGGTGGAACTTCTGACCTTGTTGATAGAGTTTTGCCATGAGTCAAAAATGTTGCTTCTTTCCATGTTGCTTCATGTTTACTTTAGTTTCTAAAATACCTATTACAACATACATTTATGATGTATGGATTTCTTTTCCTTGTGACAGGACCGCTCTCCAGTAGTTTCCAGGGAGAAATTGCAGTCCCAGAAGCAACCTCCAGTTTGTGAACCTTCAACTTCTGTGAAGTCTTCTGTAGAAGACTCGGGTGAGAGTTGTTTGAATGTTAGAATAGAAAAAAGGAACGTGAAAGGAAGATTGCTAGAATAGAAATAGTGATACCTTTATGTATTGACTTTTCATGCAGTAACTTTGTGTAGACCTTTTCGCATGAAATTACACCTCGCACAGTTAGGCGACTGTGTTGGCGGCTCCATTCCTTTTAATTTTTTACGACTTTGCGAGAGAAGTAGAGTAAGTATTATTGTTTGGTTTGAAACACTCGTTAGAAACCTCGTTTTCCATATGTATAGTTGTAAGTGTGAGTATGCCTTTGTCGACCGACCAACTGACTCCACCCGGTGCAGTCTAACTCATTAAATTTGCCTTTTTTCCTTCCTCTTACATATAAAAGCGTTCTAATTAATTATTTGTAAATCATCCCAATAGTCTGTAAACTACTGAATAAGTTTCTTCTTTTATCATCATGCCTATAATTTTCACCCCTGATGGCTTAATTACGTATCGGCTTGTTTGCATTCTGTACTGCAAGGTGCTTCAGGAAACTAGGCAGGACATAAGAATATCAATTTACTTTAGATTAGCGAACCATTGCTCTTTTTTCTGAAGTCCTGATGTCGAAGTTCATTCAAGTTATACTTGAATCTTTCCTCGAGTATGTGTTGTAGTTATGAGCTTTTTTTTTCTTTTACTTTTTTTGATAAGCCGAAATCAAAGAGTTGAGAAAGTCAACTGTTACTCAAAGGATAGCGGTACTTTGTAAAAAACATATTGGAAACTGCTGGAGAGACCTTGGAGCAATGCTTCGAGTTTCTGAGAGCGACCTTATCAACACAGACAAAGATTACCGTTATTCTTCCGAGAAGGGATATGCTGTTCTCCAGTCATGGAGGGATATGGATGGGTGCAGTGGTACTGTAGGACTTCTTGTAGATGCCCTCATTTCAATAGACGAGAAGAGGATCGCTGAGGAGTTGCTAGGTACCTAGATCTGTATATTTTGTGCAAATTATCCATCTCTTTCGAAATCCATAGAATATTGGCGATGAGTCATTGAAATTTTCTACGGTACAGTTTAATGTGGTCACAAAATTTTTAAGTCCTCTTACAACCTGCATATTCATTAATATTATCTAAACTCTCTCATCATTGATTTTCTTCAGCTTGTCCCCTAAATTGCGGCAAGCAAAATCACTTCAATCTTTTCGAAACTGTTGTCGCAATTTCTTCGTCTGAATCGACAAAACGCACACGGCATCTATGTAAAGCAGAATTTCTTTATTTTTTCTATTTCACTTTTAAATTTTAGATCATGTTTATATAGATTAAAGTAGATTTTAATAATATTATTATTTTATCTGATAGATTTACCGTGTCTAAATAGAAATAAAGTTCAAGTTCAAGTTTTTCGTTTCTGGTATAGATATTGTGCGGGAAGAAAAACGAGGAGAAAGCCAACAAAAAGACGACAGGTCAGAAGAGCATCAAGAACTGTGTAGCAGCCCGGTGGAAGGTACAATTAATAATTACAAAGATTTTTCCTAATTTAGCGCTCTTTGGTGAATGAGACTCTCTCATCATTGATTATTTCGTTTCTGGAATAGATATTGTGCGAGAAGAAAAACGAAGAGAAAGCCAGCAAATAGGCGACGGGACAGAAGAGCATCAAGAACTGTGTAGCAGCCCGGTGGAAGGTACGATCCATATATACTGATGTTTTCTTTAACTGAGCGCTCTGTGATGAATTAATAATAATAATGATAATTTTTTTTATATTATTATTATTATTATAATGATAACTTTATTTCAAAACTTAAAACATTACAATAACTTCGCGCGGGTAATGGTTTTTCCTCTCGTACATTTCCAAATTAATTGACACGGAACACATCTGTTAAATTCACTTCTCTAGGATCAGACTCGTATCAGACCCAAACTAACTTATGATAACAAAAATGACCTACATATAAAAAATCGCGAAAGCACCTACTAGTTCGTATTAAAAGAATTTCAAAAAAAGTGCATCGAAATTGAAGATTAAACGAGACTTACCTGGAAGTTGAAGTTTGATCTGGATTCTGCTGAGTTATCAGGAACAAGGAGTCACGTGAGAAAGCACTTACCGCCACGCTATTCAGTCTTGAAAGCCGGTGTGTGAATCAGTCCCATATGCAACAAGGAGGCACAGGGTGGATTTTACCCTAAGACAGGGTGGGCACGTGACTCCTTGTTCCTGATGACTCAGCAGAATCCAGATCAAACTTCAACTTCCAGGTAAGTCTCGTTGAATCTTCAATTCTGCCTCGTCATCTTGCACTGCAGAGTCACGTGAGATTTGAAAGCACTGATGAGCACACCAAAGATGAAACATACTCAAATAGTTTATTACATAAGTATACATAGCTATGTATAAGATCTGTAAGATATAAAACCATTAACTGTAAACAATGATCAGTCAATTGCTAGGACTTTGTTAGCAAATACATTTTCATTTGTAGCAATGGGCAAATCATAATGCCTGGCAAAAGTGGAATCAGATTTCCACCCAGCAGTTTTCATATAGGTACTTTGCTGCTCTTTGCCTTATAGGTAGAGGCTGTCCTTGTGCTGTGTGATTTGAACATTGAGACATCAATGCCTGACTGTTGCAATACATTTCTGATCCATCTTCTGATGGAGTCTCTGCTGACTGGCTTATGCGGTTTTGCAACTGTTACTATTAGTCTTATTTTGTTCCCTCTCAGATCTTGAGTTCTAGCAAGGTATTCTTTACATGTAGTGAAAACACAAAGGTCTTTATTTGGAAATGCTTGAAGCCTAATAATTTGTCCTTACATTCCTGGTCTAGGTTGTTTAACATGTTCACGTAACAGGAATGTATATGCTGTGGGTTCCTCTACCATGGAACCAATGTCTAACAATTGTAAAGTCTGTCCCCTCTGAGCAGTAACTAGTGCAACAAGCATAACTAGCTTGTGCGTTAACTCTTTAAACGGAAACTTCTCTGTGGGTATTAACGTAGAAAGAAATTTTAACACTAAACTTACATCCCACACTTTCGTATAACGAGGAAGTGATGGTCGAGTTTGAAAAACTCCTTTCAGAAATCTCTTAACATATGGATTGTCTTCAAAAACAACATTGTTAACAGGTAATATAATTGCAGATAAAGCGGACCTCGCAGTGTTTAAGGCACTGTAACCTAGTCCTTGGGAATAGAGTTCTGTCAGGAGTTCTATGGCTTGTTCTAAAGGTGGTGAAATTAGATTAATCTGCCTTTGAGTACTGAACTGAACCCATCTTTTAATTTCTGAGTCATATTGAGCCTTTCAAGATACTCTCCAGGAAGACAAGATAATATTGGTTGTTGCATGAGAAAATCCTTTGCTTTCGAGGGAGTTCCTGATAATAGACATGCAACTAATCTCATTTTCTTGTGCAAGGGGCGAAAGCAGTCTTTCTTTGTCGGTAAAATAAACAGGTTCTCTTGCACTGGTAACAGAATTGGGCTCCTGATCAGCATTCTCAAGAGCATGGGATACCACATCTGTGTTGTCCAAAGGGGCACTATAAGTATCCCCTCTGCCCCCTCTTCCCGAATTTTCTGCAGACATCTGTTGATTATGCTGAAAGGGGGAAAGGCATAATATTTTAGTGTTCCCCATTCCATTGACAGGGCATCAACAAAGGCTGCACCTGGATCTGGTTTCCAGGATACATAGGTTCCAGGATACATAGGTTTTTGGCCTAAAACATTGGTAATTTTTTTTAAAAATGTTCTTATTTATCATCCATTCTGTTTGGTCGTCAAATGTTCGTGAGTTTTCGTCAGCTAGTATATTTTCTGATCCTGGTAGATGAGTGGCAGTTAGCCAAATGTTTCTCTGGATACACCAGAGCCATATTTCTTTAGATGTTTCATTACACTGATATGATCTTTTTCCCCCCATATTGTTTATGTATGACACTGCAGTTGTGTTATCTATTTGCATCAGGATGTGCAGGTCCTGGAAGTCACTGCATAAGGATTTTAATGTGTAAAAAGCTGCAAGAAGCTCAAGATAATTGATATGTCTCTCGGCTTCTGTATGATTCCATCTTCCTCCATTTGAGGTTGCCCCTCTAACCGCCCCTCTCATTATTTAATGTCATAGTAGCACCATAATCCCCTTTGTTGTATCTAAGCGCTTCACATTTAGCTAGTTCTAGGGATCTGTAAGACAACTGACCATATTGAACAGCGGGGAAACTAGAAACTATAGTGCCAATTAATTCTGCCAGTGACTTGATTGTCAGGCTGTCTTGCTTGATTGCAGATTCACATAACACTTTGAGTTTGGTGATTTTGTCTTGTTTGAGTGTAATGGTCAAAACCCAGAAACTCTAGTCTACTCTGAGGATTTACTACAGATTTTTCCTGACTAATTGTAAAACCAAGCCTTTGAAATAGGGTCCACAGTAAGATCAACATTTTTCTTACAGTCCTCAAATGTGTCACCCTGTAAGTAACTATCGTCAATATATGCAGAAGATATAAACCCTTTTTGTCTAAGGTGTGCATAGGCAGGTAAAAGCAATTTAGTGAATAGTCTTGGTGCACATGCTAAGCCATTTGGCAGACATGTGTATTGGTATAGTTTCCGATTAAATCTGAATTTCAAGTACTTTTGATGCTCAGGTGCAATAGGCACTGAATAATGGGCTTCCTTGAAGTCAACCGTCGCCATGAAGCAGCCTTTTGTGACAAGCCTGATTGTTGTCAAAAAAGCGTCCATCTTAAAATGATGGTACACAATAGTTTTATTTAAGTCTTTAAGGTTAAGTATTAGCCGGTAGCCATCACCAGACTTTTTAGGACGAATGAATATATTGGAAATGAATTCACCTTGACAGTGCTGTGATTCCATGATTACTTTCTTATCCATGAGCTTTTTCAGCTCAGTTTCAATTATCCCTTTTTCTGTTGGGGTAAATTTTAATTCTTTAGGATAGAGTGTTTGATTAGGGGTTTCCCCTGGCACAAAGTCAATATGACAATGTCTTACACAATCTAGAATGTGCACATCTGAGGTTAATTTTTCCCATTCATGTGCAAATTGTTTTAACCTGCCTGCTTGAAAAGGTTTTGCTTTAGAAAATAAAGATTGACTTCTTACCTCATTGGAGATAGAAGTTTCCTTGTCGTCATTCTGGTTCAGTTGGTTTGATCTTTGCCCTCCCCATTTCTCTTTTGGCGGTAGGAGGGCCTGAAGGAGTTTAAATCCTTCCGGTTGTAATTATCTCTGTTCTTGTAGCCAAATCCTTTGTATTTCTTAAATGCATGTTTATATGATGACCTATCTTTGTTGTTCGAGTATTTCCTCGATGAACTTAGCTTACTAGCTACTCTGTTAGCTTGTGCCATATCTTTAATTGCTGTGATAAATCGCTACTGAATAAAAATTCTGTTACTGGTACCGTGGGTGGACAGAGGTGTTTATACTTCTGGTTCAAATCAGGCTTAATAGCCTCTCGTCGCCTCATGTTCAATTCATAACTAGCACATGCAGTTAACGCTATTCCGTCTGATAGCTGTTTCATAAGAGCAGGTACGTCTAGTATGTCTTTAGGGATTTGATCCTGTACTTTGTTCAGGGCCTCAATGGCTTGTACTGACGGTATCGCACTCTTAATTATAAGAGTTTGAAGTGTCTGCAGTTTTATATCAGCAGACCTTGTTTCTGACCTTAGTTTCTCCCAAATTAGCGGGTTGACTTTCACGGTCACGAGACTATCGCAATTCTCGGGCCGTTGGTAGGCCTTTATTCTCTCGGCTTGAACTTAGTCTGATAGTCGTGTTTGCACTACGCCATTTACGACTTTTGCAAGTTGTTCAGCCACTTTGGGCGAGCACTTGTCCTCTAGTTTTAGAGATTGTGCAATGTCGTGTAGTGTGCCTTCATCTTTGCTCGATTCAGCTGGTGTGTCATCCTCAGACTCAGGCTGAGCTTTTCTTTTCTTCGGCACGGGTATGTCTCCCGCCATTTCTTCTGGTCGCTTCTCAACGACTCTCTCTTCGTCATCATCGAAGATTTCTCCTTCCTCCGTTATTCTCGACAGAACATCAGTAATTTTGCTGAAAGATTGCTGCATTGATTGTTGCATTGCAAGCATGTTTTTGGAAAGTTCTCCTCCAAATTGTTGGAGTTCAGCGGGCTTTACAGAATTATCTGTAGCCATGTGCGTTGTCAATGTGCTTGAGCTTGGCGCCAAGCCATCTGGGTGCTGTTCTATCGTTTTTTCACCTTGAGACACGCTCAATGGTCGATGTTTAGATTTGGTTTTGCCCTTAAAAGTTATTCCTAGGGCTTCTTTCTGCATTTTCCTAAATTGTGAGGTTTTTAGTTGTAGTTTATAGCGAGGATTTCAAACGAGTTGTCGATTAATCGGCGGTAAAAATGCACTGAATAGCATGGCGGTAAGTGCTTTCTCAAGTGACTCTGTAGTGCATGATGACGAGGCAGAATTATCCTTATAAAAGTAAATTACATTAAAAAAATATGTGAGAAGGGAAATGACACTCTTACTCTAAAAAACTGTAAAAACAAATTTTAATAATGATAATGATAATAATAATAATAATGATAATAATAATAATAATGATTTAGCTGTGAATAATTCACAAGATGACATTCTTGTTCACGGATTCGATCCTGGGCAACATTGATGGGAGGCAAGGGTTCTCATCAGCGCGCCATTCCCGCTCCCCCTATGATTGAATGAATAATGAAGTATACACCTATCATGTTTCTCTTGCTTTCCATGTAATATTGGCAGAATTCATCGGAAGTTTCGGGATGTAAGGCATCCCCAAGTGATTCGGCCAATTTTCAAATCCTCTTCTAGTGTTCCAGAACTCTGAGAAGTCGTTTTAGGGTGACTTTTTCTAATCTACGATTTGAGATGCACTTTTTATTATGTTTTAATATATAAACGATTTTGGAAAGCAACATGCATGTCTTTGCTGACCACCCTTTTAGAAGCTCAATATTAGGCTTGTATCCTGAAATCTTACTGCAATTTTTCCTTTTCGGATTTTCAAACCGGATGGTCAGGCACGTGTTTATGCCATTTTATTGTTAGTTGAAATTTTCTTCTTACCTCAGTCTGAGGTAATTAATGTATTGATTCTCAAGTGCACAGCAATTGAGCTAACGAGACCGTTTGACTCTCTTTTCTGTTTTTATGGTTGTCTTGGGATTGCTTGGTGACATCCTCTAATTGTTCTTGCGTTACGATACATAATTCTTCGAAGGTTGGGCAACTAACAGCTTTACATTTGGTCTTTCTTTTAGCATTTTGCGGCAACAAGGGTGAAACCAGGAAACGCCAGACCCTGGAGAGAGGAGGCTTCCCTGACACAATGCCCAGTACTGCGGAAGAAGTAAATGCATCGCAAACACGAGACATAGGAGAAAGTGAAGGGAGAAGTAGAACGACAAGTGGAAAGAGGACGTCGGATCCTGAGTTAAAAAGAGTGGCAAAACTCGAAAAAGTTAGAAAGAATAATTTGTTGAAACTTAAATCTAGGGCAGGTGAGTTTCAGTTATGAGTGTCCTTCAAAACCATGAAAAATTTGCGGAAACTTTATCAACCCGTTTTTTTTTTTTTTTTTTTTCATTATTAACAGTTCTTTACTGATGGGTCGTGTATGATCAACTGAAAAAGTTCTAAAAACATTTCTTCCCTACGGTTCCGTTGAGTTGAGTGTTTTCAAGCTCATTGTCTCTTGCTATGTTTTCGGTCGCCCTATAGATGGTTTTTAATCTAAACGCTTTAAAAAGCTTGATTTAATCCATTTATTCAGGTTTTGATCGAGTGAGGAAACTTCTTACTCGTATTCCTCATTTATCCCTTATGCATTCATGAATAATTAAGTTCAAGTTGCGATATTTTTTTTCTTGGCTTTGTACAATGTAGGTAAACCTCCAAGGAGACAGCAAAACACCAGGAGGAACGAGCCATCCGATACGAGGCTCAGACTGCTTATGGAGTTAACTGAATTAAAAGCGCTTATAGAAAGAATTTATACAGCTGAAAGCGAAATGTTAGAGAGGATGGAAAAAATGACTGAAAAAGTCAGACAGGTGAAGGAAGATTTATCAGGGGCGTCATAAACAGGAAATTCCACAGCGGCGTCATCATAATTTTGCCATGCTCTTTGTTATCAATGCCGACCTTTTTCAATAACAGACAAAACCGGAAGCCGAAAGTTAGGATGGAAAAGAACTGGGGTGGAATATGAGACAGGGTTCAAAATTACAACCAGCTATTCACCAGCAGGTAACTAACTTGTAACCTTGTCGATGTCTTTCGGGCCAGTTAACCCCTCAACAAACGAAAGGTCCGTCATATTTCCGTTGCGCTCGTGTACACGAGCAAACAGTGCGAAACAAACTGAAAATTCTTCTACGACAACAGTTATTTACATAAGTGATGCGACAACATCTCGAGTCAGTGATGTATATACCTGTAGTGATGTAGGTTTTTCCTTAGCCAACTGGGCTCTTTGATGTTTTCCTGATTACCCGTACGAAGCCTTTTTGAAAGTAAACCCGTGGTTTGTATTTATTTCCTATGAAAGGTTTCAAAAATCTTTCTCCCTGCTTTAGACGAAGCCTGACAATTTCCGATAGTTGTTTAATATTCTGTTCTCTAACAATACGCAATTTTTCTTCCGAAACTTAACAGTAAATCCGCCTCGAAAGGTTTTTTTGTTTGTTGTACTATTTCCCGTGCGAAAACTGGAAACTCTCAAGGATCCTCAAGATTTGAAAGTTACTTTACCGAAATTCACGATTCACGATTTCTGCCAATTGCAAACCTCGACGGTTACATATGACAAGGTCCCAAGTTACGTGACCTGCGAGATAGTCTGGCGTAACACTTTGTTGCATGACTCGTTACGCCACTCTATGTATAATTATAGATTAGTAGACCCCAGCAGACACCCGCACTAAAGGGGTCCGTACCACTACTGGAAATATATTCAGCTTACTTAAAAAAAGTGCAAGTAACACTGTACTTTGTAACAAGGGTGCTTATTGGTAGTCTAATAAATCAATATTTAGTACGGAAACTTACATTTTTCCACACCATATTGCCTATGACATTGAAGAAAGTTAACAAATGGTAAACACCACAGCGTACACTATTGAGTTATGGATGCACGCGGGAGGTTTGCTAAGCACGAAAGAAGCGTAAGAGTCGCTCGAGGCGATAGCCGAGAGCGACTCTAGCTTCTTGAGTGCTTAGCAAACCTCCCAAGTGCATCCATAACTCAATAGTGTACGCTGTGGTGTTTACCATTTGTTTTATAACATAACATTGATACATTGTAGCTAAAGAGTTCCCTTTTATTTAACAAATCTTACGCGACCAGAAAAAAACAAGCGCGCGCGGAAAGATCGTCTTTGCATTTGCTCACGTCAGCAGCGTACATCCATGGGAAAATGGGGGACGCTAAATTGACCAATCAGAGCGCGCGCTTTACTTTGGTTATGTTATAAAATTATTTGGTTGTCATATATAAAATGCTCCTTGTTTCTCAGGCTGATAGAAGCCTATGCCAATGTTTTTTAAGCCCATTGATCAGTGCACAGCTAATTTATTCAACTAACTATTATATCTAACACATGACTTTGCCCTCTCGCAGTTGTTTTTTATTCATAGTAACATTTCTTTCTTCGACTTCTTTGAGCTCTGTACTTGCTTTTGACCTTCCCGCAGCCAGTAATTGTCCTATTGTTCGGCTCGACATAACTCTAAAAAAGAAAAAAATCAAACAAGAAATTGTGTTTGCGCCACCATCACACTTCAACGCATACTCGGTGACATACAATGGCAGGAACTGAACTGTGCGCTCGAAAGATTACACTTACGTTTTTGCGAAAAACGAAGGCTACCAGTTTACATTTAATACAATAAAATCAGATTTACGTGCCAAAGAAATTTTCTGCAACTCTTCTTTGACCAATGCTTTCAAAGGCGTCAAAAAGGCATCCCACAGTTGCTTTTTTCGCTTTGTTATTTCTCCATGATTTAAGTACAGCAAATCCTTTTTCTTTAGCAAATTTAAAATCTTTGTCTATGTTGTCAAGTTCGGCTTCTGGTAGCTCAAGAACTACTCCAAAGTCCTGCCAACAGGTTCCCGCGTCTTCCTGTATTGACATGCATAACTGAATAGTAACGACTTCCTTTCTAAGTTTTTTGTTTTCAGCTGCAGAAAATGAAGACGAAAATTATTATAGAAGGGGAAGTACATTGTCCGTTACGCATCATTCAATGAAAAAAACCTTGAGTATAAAAGTATCAAATATTTTCATGAATTTTCATTCCGAAGTCCCGCCAGCAAGCTTCTCCCAAACAGTAATAGCTGGATAAGGTAGCAGTATCTTTAAGCATTACCTTCCCTTCACCAAACCATCGCCCATCACCATTGTTAAGATCTGCACCCGATACTATTTTCGGTCTATTGCGTCTCTATATAGTATAGAGTCGATAAAATACTATTAGAGTGTTTTTAAAGAATAATGAATAGAAGGAATTTCTTATTAGCTTTATGGAGGGTACGCTGTTTGAATCGTAAATAAGTTAAGAAAAGGAAACATTAGGCATTTTATTACTAATTACCCTTGCTATTTGGGAGAGATAATTCCAAATCGGTTGTCTGATCTACTTTGAGATCGAATTCGGTGGCAATCTTTTTTTTTCTTTTTATGAAGAACTGAATCAGTTGTGGGAATTGCTGGATCAAGCAGACCTGACTCGCTAAGTGAGTCAGCATCCCCTCCCCCTCTTTGGGTAAACAATAAAGTAAATCTAGGAACTTTCTTGAGTCTGGTGCCCGTCTTGGTCTGTCAGCTTGCTTTGAGTTTTCTTCACCTCCCAGTCTCGTGTTATCTGAGATGAAAGAAAGGAACGAACCTCACAAAAGTTTAGTTTAACTAAAGAGAAAGTAGCGTAATGAGTTTATGCTGCGATATAAAGCAATTACAGAGCAACTTCCTAAAAGAGGAAGCAAGCTCTGACAAGAAGCAAGAAACGGCAGCAAGTCAAAAGAAGAGGTTCACCTTCACACAAAGACAGCTGGTTGAATTGGAGAAGGAGTTCCACTTTAGCAAATATCTAACAAGGACAAGGCGAATTGAAATAACATCCAACTTGGAACTTACAGAAACACAGATTAAAATATGGTTTCAAAACCGACGAATGAAGTGGAAAAGAGAACTTAAAGAGTCTATTCGAAAACAAGGAGTGAATGAGTCACCTGAAGCTCAATTCAATCATGGATTCCACCAAGGTTTCCAAAGGTCCCTTCGAGATACTGTTCCTTCCTACCAACAAAGTGCTCCAGAAATTTTTGTCCAACATGCCACACCTCCATATTTTCCAAACTATCTATCGCTTTAATCTTTAGATATCAGAACTCTAAATGTATTTAAGTCGAAAAATCATATAAGTTCACACAAAGATATAGTCCAGATAAAAAATATCGACATTAGATAATAATAATAATAATAATAATAATAATAATTATTATTATTATTATTATTATTATTATTATTATATGAAGCAATTACAGAGCAACTTCCTAAGGCTTTACTGGTGCTGGGCCCTCGCTTCCCAAAAACTGGCTTAGCACCCCCATCTCGATGAATTGTGTGACATTCATTCCAAAATTTCAGTTAGGTGTAATCATACAGCTTTCATTTCACGCTAATTGATTCTCGTTGTCGCCAAAACACTTACCACGTTCCGAAATTGAGTTTGCAAGGTGTGGGTGAGCCGATTGGAGTACTTTCCTGAAGATTCGATAGGCTTTCGTACCCTTCCTTGGCAAAATCTTTAGCAACTCCTTACATTTTTCCCATCGTGTTGGCTGCGCTTGTATTTTCTCTTCTTCAGATTGAGTAAATACATCATCAGCTGCCATATGTAGTAAAACTTCGTCTGGATCCATATCTTTTAAAAGGTCCGGTTTTACTCTATTTAAAATCTGCCTATGCTTGTCACTCAGTGGTTTTTCCCTTGCTCCCTCAGTTGCCATGATGCCGATTTCTTTCCAACTGAAAAGTTCAATGAAGAAATAACCACAATAGGTGTGATTTGGTTCTCGTTATGATTACACATGTGTTTGAAACGAAAGATGATAATATGATGATAATTAAGATGATAATTAAGAAAGATGATAATATGGGAACCGTTACTCTCCCGAAAAGTATGGATCATAACGAGTTGATATTCTTTTTTCAAGGAAAGATAACAAATTCTTACCAAATGTCAGTAACCAAGGAAGGTTGAAGCTGAATCAAGACCAAATCTTAAACCCCTGAGAAGTCTTTTTGTTACACCTCTAAAGGTGAAATTACATTCCCCTATGAAAGGCCAGATTCCAACAACCAAAATATTTGTTGTCCGTGACCTTGAAATTTGTATCTTAGGAGTACAAAATTTTGTGGCAAATTCCTTGGCTAAAATATCCTTGTGGGCCTGGAACCAAGTTAGTTGCCTTCCATTGAAGGTGCATTAAAATTGAAATGTACTAGCTAATACAAATTCAACTTGCTTAGAAAACTGTACAACACTTTGAGTTGATCTTGAAAGGTCAATTTTTTTTTACTGACCAGTCACAAGCATAAAGTCTCGCACACAAGCTAAAGGAAACAATAAGAACAAATAAGGCAAATTTTACCTGAACTTCTCAGGTTCCAGCTAGTAAGCTACTAAAAAACAAGTAAAGGAGGGATGCAGTGGCAACAAGATCATTCTATACGTCAGAAACTCAAAAGTATGCAGCTATGTTCAATTTATTGTTCAAATTATGTATGTATTTGTGCTGGACAGTGCACTATACGATGAAATACGGTAGGTTGTCAGTATTTTTCTAAAGAATTTAATTTACCTAATCATTCTAAGCAACATATGGCAATCTGCGGTCTTTCGTTACACTTAGGTAGCACGGAAAGCCGTAAAACTCTTGAACAAAAGCTCATCTTTCACATCGGCAGTCTAAATCCCACAGGGATCAACAAATGCTTTTCATTCCACTAATTTATTCGTGTTTTTCTCGTTGCCATGTTACCACCAATAACGTAGCTCCATTTTCTGCCTTTAAAAGCACACACAACCCACAATTCCTCTATTCGCTCCGACGAAGGGCTAACGCTCGAAACGTCAGCTTTTTGTAATCGTTACGGTGGCCAATTTACCATTTCAACTTTGTTGATATATCCAAATTATTTCGTTACACCCACCGACGCAGCCCCAAATAGTTTCTTTCGAAACTATCAGCCTTTTTTCTAAAGAACACTATAAAATATGTTCACTTTGCGTTTTAGTGCATCGAGGGAAGTAGAAAAACGTGGAGAACACAACAACTCACAACAACACACAAATGCAACGGAACTGCAAAGAGCCAAGGCATTAATTTGCAATCCAAGCTAGATCTGTTGTAAAACAATGATATCGACTCTAGGCTGTCATGTACTCACAGCGGATATAATTTTCAAATTGGTCTGATAGATGTCACGTTATGAAAACCCAAGGAGATTGATTCTTGCTTGATGAAGCGAGAAATATTTACAAAATGAAAATTAGAGCATAGCGAGGGATCGTTTTTTCTTATTCGTGTAAGAACTGTAATTGTTTATGTCTACTAATCTTGAGCCATTGGGAATGCAGAAGCGAGTGCTCCTGGTCAATTTTTAACTCTCTCGTATGTGCGAAAGAGGACTCCGCCATAATTGAGCGCCAGTAGTCGATAGATTGGTTAGACGCGACTAAAGAAGGAAACTAAAGGGTTACAACTGAACCGACGTAAAAGTACAAAGAAGTTGAAAGTATTACTTAACAAGATCGGAGGTATATGTAAGACGTATCTTCGGTGGGGCGATATTGCAGCAGTCAATAATCGACCACTGTCCTAACTACTCGCACTCGGGGCAAATCATTGTTCATGATTAAAACATATTTTCGATAGACATCTCATCCCAAGTATACGCAACGTAGCTGATAGTTCTGCAAACACGAGAACAAATCCGGCATTAAGACGCCGAGCGTACCATCCTGAATGCCCTAGTTACGCCGACATGTTAAGATACATACATTTGAAGCTGATCCGTGATAAACAACTGACCTGATCTGAATGGGTGGTTTCAACTGATTCTTCTTCAAAGTAGATAAATATTTTTTACCTTCCTAAAACGTCCAATTATCCTCCAAAACGATCTTCTAAACAAAGAAAATGGAACGGATCTCACCAGTAGGAGCTATCTGTCTCAATGATATGTATCCACACAAATCATTCCACAGTCTCATTTTTCAGTGTGATTTCCAAGCGACCTTGTAACCTTAAGCAGCAACGTAAACCAATGACGAGGATAGCAGATCAAATAGCAGATTACTGCACAAAGACTTCTTTGTTACGTCACCCAAATACTCCTCTTAATCATTTGTATATGTCGTAGATTCCTAGAGCTGTTCTTGAAGAAAACAATACAGTGAGTCGATCTCTTACGGTTTATGGATTATTACAGGTTACTGATTGTAGAAAAAGGCTGCACTTGTCATTGTAAATCGATTTACGTTGAGTTGACATGAGAAGAAATAACACTTGAAGTTCATGTTGGTTGATGTAGATAGTACCATGGAACCCGTGACAAGCATCCTCCAACGAAACAAGCAAGTCATGGGAGTGAGTCTGGTTGAATTATTTTGTTTAGTATGTTCGACGTCTTTCCTGCCTTGAGTTCAGAGTGCAAAATTTGTTGTCATAAAGTTCACGAAGAGCTAATACTCAAAATAAATTGGATATATCAACAAAGTTGAAGTAGTAAATTGCCCACCGTAACGATTACAAAAGCTGACGTTTCGAGCGTTAGCCCTTCGTCGGGGCGAGTAGAGGAATTGTGGGTTGTGTGTGCTTTTAAAGGCAGAGAATGGAGCTACGTTATTGGTGGTAACATGGCAAAGAGAAAAACAAGAATAAATTAGTGGAATGAAAAGCGTTCGTTGATCCCTNGCTAGCGGTTCGTCTTGATATGGCTCCTCTACCATATTTTCTTCTTCGGAATTGCCTAATTCTGCACGAGATGATGAGCTTGAAGATTCTGAGTGGTCGGATTCATTACAGGATTCGTCTGAATCACTAAAACTCTGGAGGTTTTCTCTGGACATGTTCGATTCGTTTTAGTATTCTTAGGAAAGGTACACCATATGACATCACGCATAAATTAACTTACAAATATTCATTACCAGGCTCCGGTAAGATAATGGCCGAGACTAGCGCAGTTTTGAAGGGAAAAAAGTATATTAAATTTCTTTACAGAACAAATCTAAATATTTCAGGCGTGAACCAAAGACTATAAACTAAGAAAATTCATCGAAAAAAAAAACTTGTCATATGCACTTTAAATTTTTGTCTTCAAACAATTATCAATCCATAAATTATTCGACTGTGTGTAGTGTCTTGTTTATCTCTACCATACATTCATACATACGTACATAAGCCATAAGGTTATTGAAATGTATGTTGCAGTCTGCCTATTGTGTCGCCCAGTCATTTTTTTTAACTAAATAAGTCATTCAAGTATTTAATTTCCAAATCTTTATTATTGTCCAAATGACCCGTAAGGTGATTTGACAAACAGTCTTTTTCAGAGTAAAATAAAAACTTAAATGTTATGAAATATATGAAACATGAGAATCATTCTCACATGGTTTGTTATTGACAACCATCTCTCCTTCAGGATTTCTGCATCACCCTGGCAAGTCTCTATACTCCACCAAAAGTAATTTGTAATTGAAGGAACCCATTGGCCCAACTTTTCAAAACCCTTCTTTTTTGAGGATGTCCTCAGCTTTTTTGTAAATTCTTGCAGAAATGCCATGGATCAATATGATGTTACTTTTGACATCTAACAAACCGCCGCCCAGTTAGCCCAATGGATAGTGCGCTGGACTGTTGTGCGGGAGGTCGAGGGTTCGAGCCCCGGCCGGACCAATACTCAAGGTCTTAAAATAATTGAGAAGAATTTACCACCTTTCTATAACATCAAGAAATGGTTAGGTATTCTAGCCTTCTCGGATAGGGACGAATAGATGGAGGTCCCGTCTCCTGCAGGGTTGGGGTAGGAGACGTTAATTTCCCACACACAAGATTACTGTGTGATGAATGTCCTCCCCTGGGGTGGGATGGTGGATTTGTATTGCTGTGTAGGCCGTAAGTTGGATAACTCATTGGGTTAATTATGTCACCTTCGTTAAATAAGAATATTGTATTGTATTGTATTCACCAACTTGCAGAAACTGTAATGCATTCATTACTGCCCCCTAAATCCAAATTGTGAGAACGCAAAATCAAATGTTGTCGCCTGAATATGGTATCGCACGAAAGAAATCTAGAATCGAAAATATTGTTTTCCTGCTATGATTTTAAAAAAATTAAAAATAATAATCTCGGAACTCAAAGCGCAATAGACCACTTTCATAAATGGCTGCCGGATTAATATTCTTTTGTTTAAATTTGCTTTAAACTAATTTCAATACAAAACTTCACCACTTCGTACCCTCTGCGTACCTGGCGCCAAGGGTATAGCTCAGGCTATGGGTATAGACTCCTCTCGAGTCTGAGGGTATGAAGTTTGAGTCCCGGCCGCAACAGCTTTTTTGTTTTTGTTTTTCTGTTTTGTTTCGTTTTTTCTTTTTTTTCTTTTCAATTCAGTTCAAATTCTTTTTCAAAGGATATGTTGGATATGTTCAGAGTCAAACGCATATATGTGCGAACGTTTGACGACTCACTATGGCTCTGACGTTTAAATAAATAACAAAGTAGGAATGCAGAGGTGAGGCCTTGAGAAAAAAAATTACCGCAACTACGAAGAGCTAAGAGTTTGCCATTAAAGGAAACCTGCGCTGAAAAACAGTTATGGTGTCAAAACTTACTTGGTACCTCACTTTAACAATCCCTGTGGTTTTGAGTTAATAATTCATTACATGATTCGAATTCGGAGCGTTTGTTGTTGACTTTCAGATCTCTCGCTCGCCGCCATGTTTTCTTTTCGCAAAGGTTTGTGGAAGTTTGTGACTTCAGTGCGTTGTCGGATAATTGTTTCAACATGGCTTCCGCACAGGAATTTGTTGTTACTCCGTACAATTTTGAGCCAGAATACGAAGAAGGCGAAAAAAGCAGTAGTTCAAGTGAAAGCGAGAATTCAGATCGCAGCAATGAAAAAGTTTTCGGTCGGTTAGTCACTCTGGACTGGTGTAAATGTTTGCACTGCACGGCAGCAACATTAAACCAACCGAAAGAATGTCTGTGTTACAAAGACATTTCTGAAGCATCGGCTTTAACGGACGCAAACAGCGAGCCGATTACGTGCATAATTCACCACGCCAATTTCAGAGCAGTTTGTTTGAATCGAGCAGCTTGAAAACAACCATTGTTCACATAAAACAACTGGTGCAAGGCATGGATTTTTCCGCTTCAGAACTCCCCAATGAGTATGTAATGAGTAAAATATATATAATTTGGATATATCAACAAAGTTGAAATGGTAAATTGGCCATCGTAACGATTACAAAAGCTGACGTTTCGAGCGTTAGCCCTTCGTCGCAGCGAATAGAGGAATTGTGGGTTGTGTGTATATTTTCTGCCTTTAAAATATA